TCATAAATACTATATAAAAAGAATGACTAACGAAATAAAAAGTACCATGAATTAATCATAAAATGGTAAATGTATGTTTTGAAGTCATTTATTGTGAAACTTTGATCTTGCCGCTATACTGTTATGATGGTTAATACTATACATGTATGTACCACTTAGATATTCATTTAATATGCTTAAACATTTTGTATGAACAGATAATATATGATGCTTATTATATAATACCAGCTTTTTAGTAGCATTCAATGTTGATAGTTCTTCTTCTCATTTTTAATGTCGTTAATTCTAGGCATTCAATACTGTTACATTAATAGCATAAGAAACTATTCTAATATTGGATCTCTTTAATATCTTATCTACGCAAATTATTCAATAATTCAAACTTTTCTCCCGTTTTTTCTCTCTTCTTTCTTTTTCTTGCCCATTTTATATTCTTATCTTTTTTTTTACCTATTATATACTTTACTTTTTCTTTGTCTTCCTCTTTCTTTTTTTTTTCATTATTATCCTTTTTGTTTAATTATATATATATTTTTTAATTTCTCTAAATGAGACTCTAATAAATACGCTTCTATTTTTACCTATTAAACTTCCCGCACGTATGCGTGCGGTTTCAACTAATATAATAGATACAAGTATATAAAATTTTGAGTTTCTGACAAAATTTTAAAATAACTTCTAAAAGATATTGGGCTTCTTCCTTTGAGTGAAAAATTCAAAAAATACAACTCGAGTTACAACTTTATTCGAGTTCATGTTCTTTTAAGTTTAAACTCGAATTTAAACTCGAGTTCAAACTCGAGTTTAGGACTAAACTCGAGTTCAAGTTTCTTCTTCAACTCGAGTTTAGAAACTCAAACTCAAATTAATAAACAGTATTTTTTCTATTCTTAAAAATGCTATAACTTTTTCGTTTTAATTCTGATTGAGATGATTTTTTTTCTATGCGTTGACAACGAAAGACGAATAAAGCCCACTCATATACCCTATTAAAATTTTTCATCAGCATTGAGTTTTTATTAAAATACTATCTAAATACAAATTCAAGTTTTGACTCACTCAAACACAAACTTAAAAAGATTCTTATCTCAAATCATAACTCAAACGTACACAACCAAACACAAACTCAAGTTTCAAATTATAACTCAAATTTAACTCAAAAATTATGCTCAAGTTAAACTCTTGCTCTGTTTGGTAAGAAGGAAAGAAAATGGGAGGGAAAGGAAAATTATAATGCATAGAAAATTAGAAGGATAGAAAAGATTTTGATTTTCTCTTGACTTGTTTGGTATGATAGGGAAGAAATAAAATGAATCTACCTTCCCTTATTTGGTATTGGAAGTGAAACTAAAGGGATGGAAAAATTATTATTGGTATAATTACTTTTTTACCTAAATATTTTTTATTAATATTCTTTTCTAATAAAAGTATAAATAATACAGTTTTCAACATCAAATTAACTCGAAAAATTCATGTAACTTGAACATATATTTCATCTATATTATGTATATATATACACACACATACATATATAAAGGTACAAAAACATAGTTTAACTTATATAGCATTTATGCACTATAGCTATGAATGCACTATGAATGTGATAAAGGTTGGTTGATCATCGATGTTTAATTTAATGTACTAAAATCTTTTATATGGATATCTTTAATCCTAGCTATATACACATATCGAAGTGGAGAGAGAAAGCCCATTGCCTATTTATCTCTTCTTTCTGGAAAAAAAAAAAAAACAGCGCCAACTTTTGGAGCCAAAATGAGGACAATTTAGTAATTTAGGTAGTTATTTACATTTTCCTTCCTAAAATCCTCCCACTTTTGGAGTGATTGAATATGGTGGGACCCACTAATTATAATTTTCTTATAATTTTCTTTTCCTTCCCAATTTCCTTTCTACCAAACAAGTTAATTTACCAATTTCCATCCTAAAATCCCTCAAACATTTTCTTTCCTCCCACTTTTCATTCATACCAAACATAGTGTAAAAGAACAAGCCCATTATTTCCATACACACACTCATCTGTGAGTGTTGGAAATAGAAGCTTAATTCACACTTCCAGCTAACTGTGAGAATGAGTGATTACTCCTATTAGGGGTGGCAATTCGTGTCACGTGTCGTGTTCGTGTTGTGTTTTGATCATTTTTTTAAAAGTTTCAGTCAACCCGAACACGACCCGTGACACGAAATTTTTTAAAAACCGCAACACGAACACGACACGACCACTTTACGAGCTGACACGACACGACCCGAAAATGACCCATGACACAAAATTGACCCGTGAACCCGAAATTGACACGAAAATTGTATACTTTTATTTAGTTTTTTACATATCAGAAAAAACTTAAAATTCATAACACACTAAATTACAATAACATCCATTGAAATTAAGCAAATAATAGTATAAGATTTTGAGTATAACTATCATGATATCACAAGTTCATAATAAAATTTAAAATATGAATTGAAAAATATATGTATTTTTTAGTTTTTTACGAGTTTCGTGTCGTGTTCGGGTTAGGCGGGTCCAACCCGAAATTGACCCGTATTTTTCGTGTCAATTTCAGGTCGACCCAATTCTGACCCGAACCTCTTTTTTCTCAACCTTAACCCGTAAAATTCGTGTCGTTTTCGAGTCGTGTCGTCGTGTCGTGACTCATATTGCCGGCCCTACTCCTATTTGCATTGCTTAATAAAGACACACCATAATTTGCTTGCCCTTTGTTACATATTCACTTCAATAGGAAGTTCTTCTGATAGATTGATAAAGGAGTTGCTACATAAGCAACTAAGGCGCAAGCTGAAAATTTAGCCGCGTTAGAGCATCTCTAATATAGTGTCAAACTAGTATCTTCAATATCAAATTTTAATACTTAACAGAAAAAATCACTCTTTAATACAGTAGAATTCTTCAAAGGTTGGTTTGCAGTGATAAATTACAAAGTATAGAGCTTCAAAATCATCATACTAGCTAATACTAAAGAAAAAACCCCATTATGTGGGAAAAAAAGAAGATAGAGAAATTTTGGTGCTTGTACAAGATGATTGGGTGGCGAAATGTTATCAGTTTCGGCTCAAATTTGACGTGAAGAATCCTTGAGACGAGCTCTTCTCATCTACCAGACTTGATCTCATTTAGCCTCTCTTTAATACTCTCTTGAGTATTCATATTTTGGTGAGACCTAAGCATTTTTTTGATGCTATTGTTGTTATCTATTTTTTTATGATAATGTCTATGTTATTGGTGAGTTAAGAATAGTATTTTTTGATGATATTATTGTCGTAAGCCTCTAGTTTGTATCTAGAGAGAACCTTTGTAATCCTATTATTGATGTAGTGGAAGTTTTAGCTTACATGTCATATGATTTTTACTCTCAATTTAAAGGCTTTTTTACGATAAAAATCAATCTCTTATTTGTGCTGGTTTATTTAATTAGTTGTTCCTTTGATTGATTAGTTTTGTTAATATTTTACTTGAGATCATATTTTAGCATACAAAGAGAAAAAGTTTTATTCTCAGATTGTTAGTCATAATTTTCACAACATGTAAAGCACTTTAAATCGTGAGTCACATCAATATATATATATATTTATATAAGACGATGAAAAGCTGCCAAGCTCAGCTGAATCGCGAGATCGCATGATCGCATGACTGAGATGGCCAAAGGAAATTCATACATATCCGAGAGTGACCTAGACAAAATGCCTTATTTGAAAGGCACAATCAAAGAGACTCTTTGATGCATCCCCCAAGAGCATTGAGAGTTCCGCCAGAATCACGCCAAGATACTAAGGGAATATTTGTTTCATGACGGGTCCGTTTAGTTCGCTGATTTGAATTTTTAATTCGAGTTAAGATGTGATGTTATGTGAGAGCTTTTTACTGTAGCAAAAAAGTTAGATGTGACTGTTTTTGAGAGCTTTTTACTATAGCAAAACTCGAATTCTAAACTCGAATCAGCGAAGTGAACGGGGCCTTCGTCTTTAATTTTGAATCATGATTTATGATTTTTTATAATATTTTTCTCTCATAAAAAATTTAAATTTTAAAAATTAAAATTATAAATAATAATTTTAAATCTATAAACCAAACATTACCTAATACCAACATGGACTAACCAATGCCAGGAGAATCAAAAGAGAACCCGCCTTGGGAGACGGACCGGAGGAGTTTAAGCCGCAGAGGTTCTTAGCCATAGATTTCAAGATTGGGAACGAGTATTTCAAAAATTAAGAATAAAATTTGAAGTCAAGACTGCTAATCACATTATGCCATCATACGTCTTATTATCAACAATTAAAAATTTCATGATATTTTTATATGGAAATTTAACGAAAACAATTTGATATTTTGCCCACTAATAGGTATATTTTATATCGTAATTCGTAGCATAGGATTATCCTAAAAAAAAAAGTTCAAAAGGAGGTAGAATCGGCTCACTAAAGGGTCTACAAAGCGTAAAACCCCAACAATGTACATGTTCATCTAAGCCAAAATCACCCACCAAAAGTACATAATTACGAAAAGTGATTGAATGGTACAAAAGTATAAATAACAAAACACAAGAGGGAGAAAGTGAAATAAAAAAAAATCTTAATTAACCAAAAACAATTGAGAGCGTGTGTGGTGTGTTACTATTAGTATTCTCCCAAAAGCATTTAATGTCGCCATAACTTTAGGTGCCTCCTTTTATTGAATTCTCCTCCCACTCCTCCACAACTCCTTTCAATAAATAACCCCAACCCAACATTAAATGTCTTCAATTAATCAAAATTTTTTAAACCATTAATGCAAATTATAATTCATTTTGGAATTCAAAAAATATTAAATAATATTTAATAACTAGAAACCATTTTTCCTTTAATAATATAAAAAAAAAATTTGCTTGCCATTTTATTTGAATGGAAGGGGCTATATTTACTATTATATATAGGCTCTATTCAATCTCAAAAGGATTTCATTTCTCTCTCTCTCCTCACTCTCTCTCTCTCTCTCTCTCTCTCGCAACAGGAAGAGGAAAATTTTGAAGGAGCCTCTCAAAAAATGGCTGCTGACGTGAGCTCTCTGGTTCGGGTTCTGAGCGGCTACAAGGACGATCAACGTGGGTCAACGACGATGGGTAATGATTCTACCGCCGAGAGATCAACGGCTCTGATTACTCGTGACTTGCTTGGTGGGTCCTCGTCTTCTTCTTCTTCTTCCAAGCTCGTCAGCGATGCCCAGGAATTGGACCTCGATTTGCAGGTCCCCAGCGGCTGGGAAAAGCGCTTGGACTTGAAGGTTGGTTGATTTTCTCATCTGGGTCTGTTTGTTTCTCGGGAATTTGTTCTGCTATATCCTTAATTTGCCCAGAAAATAAAATAATAAAAAAAGATTAAATCTGTACCTTATTGTTTTTGACGAATTTTTTCTTTAATCTGTACAATTAATAAGATTTTGCTTTTTGGCTTTTTGAACTTTTGGGTTTCAATATAGCTTTAAGTTCATGTAATCTGTACAATTAATAAGATTTTGCTTTTTGGCTTTTTGGCTTTTTGAACTTTTGGGTTTCAATATAGCTTTAAGTTCATGACTTTTCAATTTTCATGTTTCTTTCTATTTGTCCCTTGAGTTTCTTCTGTAATCAAATATAGTTGTTCAATATATATTCTTTTTTGGGATATTATTAAGAAAGGATCCATTGAACAGTCTTTGCTTACGTGCACAACATTAATTTATTCATTTGAAAAAAAAAAAATCAGTACTAAACATTGGAAATAGTATTTAATAGCACTATTATTAGGAGACTGGCAAATTTGACCCAATAAATTAGTTTAATGTTAATCTTCAATGCTCTCTCAGACTTCTAGACCCACAGTACATTCTTTAGAGTTTGTCCTTATTTCATACATTTGATTAACCATTAATCATATTAATTAAATACCTTGATTTGTTTATTCAATTCATTTTGCTACATAATACACATAATATTGTAGTAACATTTTTTTTATTTCGCAGTCAGGAAAAGTGTACCTTCAAAGATGCAGTGGCACAAATTCTTATTCTGACCATAATAAGCACCACCAAACCAATTCAACAGTGCCAAAGCTCCAAGACCTAAACTTCCCTGCCTCACAATCATCAAAAATGCCATTGAACCTTTTTGATGACACTAGTCTAGAATTGAAACTAGTCTCACACTCTTCATCACCACCCTCAACCTCACCAAACTACCAAAGTGTGTGCACCCTAGACAAGGTAAAATCCGCCCTCGAGAGGGCGGAAAAGGAGCCCGCGGCAAAGAGGCGCTCCCCGTCAACGACAACGCTTTGGAAGTCGTCGCCATCGCCATCCTACTCCTCGTCGTCGTCATCGATGAAGGAAGCGCAAGAGGAAGAGTATCATGATGAGAAAGTGTTCTCATCCCCATTTGCCGCCGGCTGCCCTGGCTGCTTATCTTATGTGTTGATAATGAAGAACAACCCAAAATGCCCAAGGTGCAACTCTGTTATTCCATTGCCCTTGATGAAGAAACCTCGGATTGACCTCAACATGACAATTTGAAGGGAATGAAGAGAATAATTTAGAATTTTACTTTTAATGCTTGATATAATTTTTGTATATGATAGATGATAATCAAAGGAGATGTGTTTCTTAAGGGGGGAAAAATAGATTTCTTAGTGATAGAAGAGCATATGTACATTTTTTAAGTGAAAAAAAAAGGAGGGCTTTATGATTTTCATTACTCTTTTCAAGCATAATTGATGGAAGTTTCATGCTTTATTGGTCCTTCCTACTTATTTTGATTTGTAATATTGTAAGATCAGCAGTTGGTATGTCCATGATCAGACAGTGAAATACACAATTAGAAGTTTTAGGTCATGATTGATTATGATGATATTCCTTGGTTATTGGTCTCAGTTTGAAGAAAAATCCAATTAATGACTTTTTTATTTCCCTTATGGTTTAATTGGTACTTATGGTTGGAATTCTAGTACTACTTTTGGTCATTCCCTTTAAAACACTTCAAGAATAGCTCACTGAAAAATACTCTCAAAGTAAAGCCTTTAAATTGCTTTTGGTGCAGATTTAAACAGAACTTCACTTTAAGGAAAACTTAGAGAAAAAAGTCATTCCTTGTCAGCTCAAAGGTAGGCATAAAAAATTTCATAGTAAATTGAAAAGAATTGTGTATGACTGATCAGTAGGAATAAATTCTTATGAAAAAGAACTTTTTGATGAGCCTCAAATTAAACCGTATCCCATGATCTCCTAGATTTTTATTTTTTGACGGCATACATTGTATTTTTTTTTTCTTATTTCCTCTTTTGGCATTTTCTCAAGCATTTATAGACACATTCAATTTCAAAACCAAAACCCACTTAATTCCATTTGACTCATTAAGGCATTTCACAATATCTAATCCGAATTTCAATAAATTGATAGATTTTTAGGGGATTCTCAATAATTTCCAAAAGCAATTACTTTCCAGAAACAGAAAAGATGATTCAACAAAAAAAAAAAAAAAATGATAAAACACGTTTTTCATATCACATGCCCAAAGGAGAAAGGATAGGACGATTAGGATTAGGGCAGTATAGCGAAAGGCCAACACACACACACACACACAAGGATAACACTTTTTTTTTTTCTTTACATTCTAGTTGGCCTTTAACTTTTTATTTTAAAAAATATATTTATACAAGGACTTGTTTACAGTCCCCCAGTTGAATAGAATTAATTGTACAGAAATAATAAAAAATAAATCAATATGAAAAGCTTAAGAAAGTATATAGGTTAACTTTTAGTTATAGAAATTAATAGATCATAACTTGTCAAGTTATAGTTCATAACCAGATAAGTTATGGACAAACTTATCAAGTTATGGTTCATAGCCGGACAAGTTATGGACAAAAATAGACAATAACTTGTCAAGTTATGGTTAATAATCAGATAAGTTATGAACAAAAACAGTAATTTAGCCTATTTATTAATTTATGTAAACTATTAGCCTATTAATTTTAATTTATCTCAAGTCTTGACATATTTCTCTCTTTCTCCCTTAATTGTAAACCTACTATAGCGGCCCTTCATAGCATTTGTGTTGGGCATACTTGGATCCTAAGCAACAAACTCGAGAAAACAATTATCAAAATTTAAGGACAAGGCAAAGCAATTCATGTTAGGTGACAATTATGTATGGTGCGCATTTACATCACAATAAATATAGCTTCTCCTTCCTTGTTATCTGTGATTATTCGGCTATATATATCCTTTGCAGATTCTGACCCAACTGAAACAAAAAAGGAAACAAATTAAAAGATAAGGTAACCAAAAATATAGATTAATGGAACATTTGAAAAAGAGGCATTTTCATGCAAAATAAAGGAAACCCAATTAATCTTTGAATGTAATCTTTATCCGGGACTTTTGGATTTTTTTTTTTTAGCGTTTTGATAAAATGTCTCATTTTATATGCCTTAAGTCACATGTAGGGCACGTACTGGTTTTTGTCCATCTCTAGGGTCTTTTTGGTATGGATTATAAAATGAGGGATAGTGATGTAAAAAAAAAAAAAAAAATATGGTTGTGTCCTATAAATGTTTGAAAAGAGCATTCAACTACAATTTGTCAAACTGATGTGCTTAATGGTTTCTGCATGGAGCTAATTATGGCCATTTACTAGACCAATTCATTAATATACCTAACGGCCATTAAATGAGAATTAAATATTATCATAGTCTTTAAAGTTTCGCCTACCTACCTTCTTATATGAGTTTAATGTTTCCTTCTTTCTTCTTGACTGTACATATATAATCTTACGTATATATGTATGTATGCATATATATGTGTATGTAGAAAAAATCATTTCCTCAACAAAAATATTTTCTCTGAATAATTTAAAATTTTCTCGGGCTTATAAATTAATTTAATGTAATTGTATCCAACCGCATTTTTAAAACTAGCAGTTGGCAATTACATAACATAAACTTTTCTAGAAATTTTTTTTTTCGATAGAACAATTTTTTCCTAGGATTGCACTACAACTTCTGAAACCGAGGAATCTTGTAACTAAAGAATTGATTAATGACATAAATTTTCTTTTTTTGCTTTTTGTAGAAGGGATCCTACAAATATATCTGAATACTTTACTCGTTGTAATCTTGTGCTCATTGTGTGTGTGTGTGTGTATATATATATATATATTTAATGGTTTAACGAATTTACTTTAATATTTATGGATCAATGAGTATAATTGTTTTAATGTAAAATATTAATAAGAAGATTGTAATAAATTTAATAATTAATCAAAAAATTTGTGATAATTAATAAAATTAAATTTTTAGATCATTTCACGTCATTAAATTTTTATATTTAATGAGTAACCACAAATAGCCATTAAAACACGTCTGTATACATACTAACCGAAAAAAATGTACATACAGGCAAGTGTATATATTTTTCTTTCATTAAATTAAATTTATTACTTTTACCAACACAATAACCCTTGATATTTCCTGAGATTTCATTATTACTATTGTTGTAGAGAGAGAGAGAGAGAGAGAGAGAGAGAGAGCATATAAATGCCGTCTGTGGTTAATGTTTTGCAGAGTAAATCTACTAAGTAATGAAAGAAATCAGCAATTTTATGGATAAAGCTAGCAAATAAATAAATAAAAAATAAAAGGGTCACCCTTAATTTCTTCACGTTAGATACCGTAACATAATTGCTAGCCACACTTCTTGCTGGCCACGAGCAAAAATAAATAAAATAAATAAATAAATAAAAATAAATAGTAATTAAATGAAGAAAAGGACTAAAGACACTTGCGACGAACACGAGTATATATCCAATTCAATGAGTGTGGATCCCACGTAATTAAATGCCTGAAATTGAATACTCACGAGTGCAACTTCTACCAAAAGACCAGATTTCATGTGCATAATAATATATAACGACAGTTATTATGACGCTCGTACGTACGTAGAACTCGCGTAAGTCCCACGTAGATTTTTGTCTAATTCCCGTATATTTTCGAGTTAAATTCATAGTATCTGAACTTTTTTTTCTTTTTAAAAATAGTCTTTGTAATCAATTTTTTTTTAATGAAAAATCCTTAAATTCTTAAAATGTCTTATAAATAGTTTTTATGTTAAATTTTAGATCGAAATCGTTAACTTTATCTCATAAAAAGTCATTAAATTATTTTCTCTCTATTAAATTTAATTCCTAAACATAAAAAAAAACATATTATCTTAAAAATTATAGAATCAGAAAAAGAACTAAAAAAAAGTCAAATAAAAAATAAAAAATAAAAATCTCTAAAGGACAACAACGCATGTCCTCATCTTCTCCACTAAAAATATGAATCTAAAGAAATTAAATTTAAAAGATCAACAAAACATAAATTTCTCCTTAATGCAAAAACACACAAAATATTTAAAGAGCAACAAAGGCAAGCCCATATCTGCAGCAAGCGTCCAAGCCCTGAGCACCAGTCGAACCGCTATCAATGAAGTCGAAAAGTGTCATTCCAAGATGCGAAAGCCTCTTATGTTCAAATCGAAAAGCCTTGCCGGAGTCGAATGAGGCTAGAAAGGGAAAGAAGCCGCGTGTGCGTGGCAAGGATAGGGAAGGAAAGCAACGGAGGTGACGAGCATATAGCAGGGGGAGGAGCCGACGAGCACAGGGCTAGGAGAGGGTTGGCAGATCTGAAAAAAAAAATCTTTGAGGGGAGAGGATTTGAAAAATCTGAGTTTTTATTTATTTTTATTTCATTTTTTTCTTGATCTTAAGGAAAAAATAATTTTTCTTTTGGGTTAGTGGGTTTTGAAGCTTTGACAAAGATTTGAAATTTTAATTTCTATTATAGTTATTGTTTCTCTTTAACATAGAAATTATTTTTAAAGAGAGATAATAGTTTAGGGACCTTTTATGAGACAAAGTTAAAGGTTTCCATCCAAAATTTAAGAGAGAGACCATTTATCGAACACTTTTAGAGTTTAGAGATTGTTCATAAGAAAATTTGACTACAGGGACTAATTGTAGAAAGAGAAAAAAATTCATGGACTATCAATGAATTTAACTCTTAAAAAGCAAACAAATTGCGTATTTTAGGTGAAATGCAGACCAAACCAATTACAAATTAGTTTAGAGATTTTCAAACCAAATCAAACCAATTAAGGGATCTAATTCAATCCAAATCAAATCGATTGTAATTGATTTAGTTTGATTTTTCTAATTGGTTTGAACTAATATTTTACAATCTCTTCTCAAACCATAACCATAACTGGTACTTATATTTTGTATAGTAGCCATTGCATTATACAGGTTATGATCATTTAGTTTTGAGAATAAACGTATTTTTTTTAAATATAAATACCTTACAAATATATAAAATATGTATAACTTTAGGAAAAAATATATAATAGAATTGGTTTGATTTAGTTTGATTGTTTTAAGTGTAAAATCACAAACCAAATTAATTTAATTGATTTTTTAAAATTTAAACCAAACCAAACTGATTATTAATTGGTTTAGTTTAATTAAATTAGTTTAAGTGGTTTGGACGGTTTGTTGTACTCCTTATTTTCTCTTAGATTGGTCTTTAATATTATGCACAAAAAGACAGCAGGAAAAAAAAAAAAAAAATCTCCGGATTAGAAAGAAGTGATGGATTTTCCACTATTTCTACTTGAGTTGAGGCGTACTTGTTATTGGCTATGTCTGGCCAATTATAGAGTTTCTTTTTTCTTTTTTTTTTCCTTCATTTGCTATTATATACTGCTACAATAAATATAGTGTACGTGTGTATATATATACTGATTAATTTTGGGTATTAATGTACGTGTGAATAGAACTCCAAATATGTGTATGATGACATCATCATTCTTCAT